ATATGGCATGGAACCGTTTAATTTATTTAAAAAATGCTATTTTAGATTTAATTAAAGATATGGAAATAGATAATGATGGGGATGTTAAATATGACTTTAAAAGATTAAAAAAAATATTGAGTGATGATGAATGGTCCTTAATTAAGGAATTATTATTTATATTAAAAGACTTTTATGACATCATCACTAATACATTAAGTGGAAATAGCTATGTTACCTTGTCTTTAGTATATCCTATAATGTCACATTTAATTAATAAAATAAAATTACAATTGCATAATGATGGTGAGGTTGAGATTTTTGATGAATTTGTCCCCCCTTTAAACACCAAAGAAATTATTTTAGATTGCTCTAGTAAAATTGAAGATAATAACACTGAAGAAGCTGCTGAAGAAATAGATGAAATTTTTATGCAAGCAGATGAGAATGGAGGGTGAAATTGAAATTTTAGAGGAAAAAAAAAAAGTGGAGAAAGACTAAAAAAAAAATTAAGATATCAAAACCAATTAGCATTTTAGGATTAAAAAATAAAATACTTAATGCATTATATAGTTCTTTAATAAATTACTGGTCAGTTACTCCACAAATAGGACTTTTGACCTCTGCTTTGGATCCAAGATTTAAATCATTAACATTTGCATTACATAGTTATATAGTTATGATGCAACATATAAAATATTATCGGAAGAAATTAAGTCAATTGAAGAAAAAAGTCTAAATTTAGATTTGAGAAGATCAGCTGTGGTAATACAAACAAATCCATCAAAAAATACCATTTTTGACAAATTATTGAATATTACTACACAACAAATCAGTTATGAATTGACAAGATATTCAAGCATAGCAAATGTTGCTGGCAATGTTGATCCACTTGCTTGGTGGAAAGAAAGAAAAAATGATATACCAACTCTCACAGTGTTAGCAAATAAATATTTATGTTTAAGTGCAACATCTGTTCCATCAGAAAGGCTATTTTCTGATGTTGGTAACCACATAACAAATAAAAGAAATAGATGGTTTTCAAAAACCATTTCTGGATTGTTATTTCTAAAAAGAAACATGAAGACCTTTTCTATTTTTGATTAAAATAATATTATATCAATAATTATATAATATTTTTCATATCAACATTATTGTGAATAAATTTATTATTATTATTATTTTGTTATTTTTTGATTTATTTTTTAAATCATGCATTGCTTTTATAGTGATTTATTTTCTAACACTCATAATATTTTTATACCTCAATTAATCACACAAACATGTCAAATTTAGTAACTAAGATTGAAGCTGGTGTGTCTGCAGTTTACTTAACAATAGAAAATGACACTTTATTCCTCTTGAGTATGTAAGAGGTATAGTAAATTGTGCAGTGAATTTGTCCTTATTAAAAATAGAAGAAAATGAACAAAAAACAAAAGTCTTGGAAGTATTATCTCAAGTTAGTATAAATTATATTTATATCACATAAACTCGCAATATTTAATGATGACTATGGTAAAAATGTAGATAATAGTTTTGGTATGTCATAGCTGAAGGTCAGGGAATGCCAGCCCGGAAGAGCAATGTCTTCTAGATGTTGAGGGTTTGCTCCTCCCTAACTGTGCATGACTATTCAACCAAAACAATGATATTTAAATTTCTGAAAATGCACATGTGTGGAGTGTAGTATATGGACAAATTATAATGCAAGATCTGACTTAGTGTGCCAGCACTGATTTTATTGCATTGCATTTACCATAGATTGCAGATGAATATATTATTGTTCAAGGTTTGAAAGTGTTCAAGGCATTAAATATGGAAAGAGAACTCCATCTGGATTACACTCGTGAGAAGATTGAAGAGAATATTATTAAATTAAAATACAAGCTTGAGGCAAGTCTTAGATAGTTTGACAGAATGAAGTACTTTGTTTGAAATCTAATTAAACTTACATATTTAGCATCCTAGATCAGAAGTTGATATAGATCTTTACAGTTTGCTCAGGCAAGCTCTCAAAAATATAAATTCTTCCGAACTTACATGGTGGGACCCCAAAGCAAGTATGGTTCTTGGTGATAATTTGGGTATAGTAAAAAACTTGCAACCTAGACAGAAGGATGTTTTCTTGGAACCATGAGAAAATATGAGATAGTTATGCCCTGTTGGTACAGGCATAACTAATTTATCCCCTATCATTTATGTAATTATCCATTTATACTTATACTTTTAATAAAAGCTTATCACACTAAAACTTGTAAATTAAAAAACAATCCCATACCATTAAAAATATTCTTGTAGTAGCAATGGTATTTTTTTCTTAAATATTATTTGCTTTATCTTAAAAATCATAAATTAATAATACTGTTTATTGTAAAGAATTTTATAAAAGTGTCAGAATTATTAAATCCCGAATTTACTACACAAGAATTAAGGAATTCTTTAGAACATTTAGAAGTTAGTAATTTTTTATTAATTATTTATATATATCTTATTTATTTTATTTAAATTTTATTAATTATTTTATATATATTTTATTTATTTATTTAAATTTTATTAATTATTTTATATATATTTTATTTATTTTATTTAAATATATATTTTTTTTTATAGAGTTCTAATGTGTCTTCTATCCAATGAGATTTCCCAAAAGAAAATACAAATGTTTGTAGTCTTTATTTTATATATTAAATATTTGCTTCACAAAAAACTTTTTTTCTAGAGAGAAAAATATGAAAGTCCTCCAGAAGAATTGGTTCAGAAGTATATAAATATAGCCACTCCACCTAACACACAAAAGAGTACTTGTCAATGGTTCTCCAGATTCGAAGAATTTATTAAAGACACACAACTTACTATTGATTTGATGAAAATTCATGATGATAAAAGAGTTATTGCATCATTATTGTGTCAGTTTATTGATGTAGTTAGAACTAGAGAAAACAAGGAATACATGGCTAATTCATTATATAATGGGATCTGTGCTATCAACCATTATTTCCAAGCATTATTAAAATATAAAACACCATTCAATATTCATGAAGATTTTGAATTTGGTGCTGTAAGAGATGTTTTGCATTCAAGAATGATAGAGTTGGAAGAACTTGCTGGTGGTAATTACAACGGTGCAGATCCTTTGTCTGATGAGGAGATGGTCAAGATCTTTGATCATACAATGGTATCATCAAATTCACCTGAAGGACTACTCAGAAGGGTATTTTTGTGGATTGGTTGTTGTACTGCACAACATGGTGGATCTTATCTTGAAATTAAAATAAGTCATTTAAAGGAAAGAGATGATGGAGGGTTCAATTTGATCACTATTCATGACAAAACCCATTAAGGTGGATATTATCATAAAAATAATTCAAATAAACATCCAACCAATATAATACCTCCAGATGAAACAGGTGAAATAGGTGCTTGTCATGATATAAAAAAAATATTTCTTTACATCCTGAAAATGCTGAAGAACACTTTTTTTTATGTGTTAATAAGAATCCTGAAGGTAATTTTTTTGTAAAATTTTTTTTAATAGTTTTTATTTTATTTTAGTAATTAATAACAATATTTTGATTAGAAATTAATGATGGTAAATGGTACTTAAATAAGCATCTTGGCAGGGATAGTTTAAACTCAATGTTAAAGGAAATTGGTTTTTTTGGTCCAAAGTGGGGGGGATAGAGGTTTTATTTATAAGTTTTTGTGCTAATTTATTAGACTACTTGATCAATGTACAATTTGGTCATGAAATAGTCTAATTTATTAATAATTACATCATTGCATATTTGTAAACCAGGATGCTTTGTATCCAGTTCGGGCATAGCCTTCACAATTGGTACATTGTGCCTGGATCATGTGTGGCCTGATAACAAAAATTGGCCACCATTGACATAATAGATATATGAAAGTTTGAATGTGGCCAAAAAAACGAAATAGGCCCCACTCGAATGTGGCCAATAATTAGCATGTGGCCTGATGATGAAATTTGACCAATTCATTATCCTGATGGCAGTTTGAATGTGGCCAAAAAAACGGATTAGGCCACATAGGTAGGTATCAGTCTAATTATAAGTAGATAACAGTCTAACATAAGTAGATAACAGTATATATATACTGTTATCTACTATTCCTCCATAAAATACAAATGAATTAGTTTCTTTTTCAATGGAAGAGTAGGCTAATCTTGATTGTGATTATTTGCAAAAATTAGTAGACAGCATGCCTCAAAGGGTTCAGCTGTAATTGATTCAAAAGGAACCCCGACTAAATACTGAATAAATAAATGAAATATTTATACATTTTTGATATAAATTTAATAAAAATTTATTATGTAAAATATTATGCAAATTGTGGATGAAATTCATTACAATTTTTTTTATGTTTTGTATTAATTATTAATGATTGACATATATATCTGTAAATAAATATATTATTGTATTACGCAATGACTACTACACATTACACAGCATGGCTGTTTGTTCAACATCTCTAAAAATTTCTTGGTAAAAAGATTCACAAAGCATTATCTTGGATGTGAATAACATTTTCATAGAGAAATAATCCTATATGTACAAGTAGAAATAGAAAATCATTAAATCACGATCACATTATCTATTTATATTGGTGATGCAAATGTTCTCTTTTCGATTTTGTTTTAGCATCTTTTTAAATCCTCTGATATCATTTCTTACAATATAAAATTTTGAAGGGGTGATCATCTCAAAATTTGGCCAATGAAATCAAAGCTCCAAAAAATATGTCAAAACTCATCGGCTAGTTTTTTCTTAACCAAAATTAGTATATAGAACCCTAACATTTTGAAAATTCAAAATCTTTACATTAAGAAATTGAGAATATTTTTTTACAACATATTAGATATATTTGATTTTTTACCAAATTGGGTCATGTAATTCAAAATGTTGTTGCATTCCTGAGCATAACCTCAAATTTAAAGATCTAATTACTATAGAAAAAAGAATTCCCGTTTTAAAACTGAATTGAATAAAAGTGATTTTTTTTTAAAATCCAACATGTAGATCACATAATATTTCAATGGATAATTCGCACTGTATCAAAAGTATAAGTATTAATATTAATATATACTTGAATATTCGAATATTCGAAATATTTTTGACTATCCAAAATATTTGATTATTCGAAATATTTTTGGTTACTTGAATATTTAATATCAATATGAATTTTAAAAGGTTTATTTGTCCTTTTGTATGTGACGCGAAATATTTGAATAACCATAAATAGAGAGCCATTAACATTAAATATTGCAATTATTCGCACAAATATATTATATCTCTTTTTACTATTATAAATTTTGTTTGTTAAATGAACTTTAATTTGAAATCTTTCTTGACGAATGGCAACTAGTAACTAATTTATGATAATGATGATAATACTCCTCTGATTAACATTTTATTAAATAAAAAAGGAAAATTGAATAAATAGAGGTATGCCAAATGATATGGCTATATTGAGGATCATGATTATAGAAACGACTAATAATTTCATCTCTCATTTATTACATGTCCATGGTATTCTTCGACCAAGAAAAGACAAAATATTTTGTAATCAATTAAATATTTATTATCTATATACAACATTAATATCTATTATATTTAGTTTTCGTAACATTTGTGTTTATTTTTAATATTTCAGTTATTCAGTACATTTATGGTATTTGAAACATCTATTACTATTCCATCCATTACTGAAAGTCATCTGGTGTTCATAATTCTTTTTGGATATTTGAATATTCAAAAAAGACGATTGATTGATGAAAGCACTACCCCGCCCGACGTATCTAATTACTATATTAATATAAAAATTCCTTGATTGATAAATGAACGATCTACGAATTAAAAATACATTTGTATAGTCAGTCAGTCAAAGAAATCTAGTGTCTTGTAATAAAATCATTAATATTAATATTCCTTACTAAGTGCAGAGAGTAGTCATGTGATGCTCCCCAGTATCAACGAAATTAAAATTTTGATTAACTTTTACTATTACATAATTGAAGAAAAAAATGGGGTTTAAACTCTAAAAATTTATGACTTTAAAAAGAAAAAAATTATAAGCAAGCCTGCGATTTTATTTTATATCAATATTTTAAAGAAGACTTGGAATAAGACTATAATCCTTTATTAGTTTTTTTTCTTGGAACCAACTATTGAAACTAAACAAAGACAAACATATAAATATAGAAGATTTTTTTTTAAAATAAAAAATCTGAAGCTCATTAACCTCAAAAGATATTGAATGGAAATTCCCACTTGTCCTTAATACTATGCCAGCTACTATTAACATCAACCCTAGTGACTTGACGCAGAATTCATCTAAAGAACAAAATTATAACAATTCGTTACAAAAAACTTCAAGATATTAATATGACAATTATTAATGTTTCAATGGATTCCAAGCAATATTCCAATAAATTTAATTGTATACTTAATATTTATATATTCGTAGCACATAAAAAAACTTATCTATGTTTGTGACAGGGAAAAAAGTAACTGTAACTAATTTTCCTAAATTAATAAATTTTTTTTTTAATGAATTCTTGTTTGAAAAGATTATTTTTTTTCTTTCTTTTCTTCTAGTTAATTTAATTAAAACATAAACAAATATAAATAAATATTATATACAAACTTTATTGGAAAAAATAAAAAATAAAAAATACTGATATAATATAATTCTTTTCGTTATATAAATACATATTTATATACTAATAATACATTACATATATTCCTTATTTTGTATGCACATAGATCGTACATATTCACGAATAATACTTGCTAATTCTGGCATTTTCTTTAGAAAAGTATCGTCTCATATTAAAAATAATCAATAAAAAAAATAAAAAAATGTTAAAAGGAGCAAATTTATTGAGAAGAAAGTCTGGTTCACGAAAAATTGTAAAGAATTCAAAGAAATTTGATTTGAAAGATTTAGCGGAAAGTGTCTCGATAGAGGGTACCGCATTAATAGTTGAAAGATGTGTTAACCAAATTAGTTTAAGAGGTTGTTAATTAGTTCATTAACCGATTAATCATTTTTTTTCTTCATATATTTTATATATATTAATATTTAAAAATTTTTTTTTGCTATCATAGGTTTATATACAGTTGATATTTTTAGACCAACAAGAATTGGAGAAGGAGGAGACGAGACAAAATATTTACTACATTGTTTATTACATGGTAATCAAACTGAATTTGAAGATGAAATACAAACACAAAGCATTCATAATGTTGTAGCAGCAATGAAATGGACACTTCGACATTGTTCAGTAACAATAGTTCCATACTATTACTACGAAGAGTTTACGATACATGAGCAAGAATCAAATTATGAAATCACCACCACCACCACCAACACTAATAATAATAAATCTTCTTCATGTTGTTTATTTACAAAATCATTTCTAAAAAATTTACCGAGATTAAATCAAGAAATAGTATTGCAATTATTTGATATATGTGCAAAAGTAACAATTGAATCAGAGACAAATAAAATGTCAGCTCATAAGATAGTCAAGTCGTTGGCATTGAGTTTGTTGGGGGATCAGAAAAGGATTTTTGGAAGTTTTGATGAAGCGTATACTGAATGGACAAAATGTTCTAATGCTTGTTTACACTTGTTTTTGGCGTATCTAAGAGAGAAATCTTTAGAGTGTGAATTACATCCTAAACTATCAATTTTATTAGAAAATTATGTTGAAAATAGAAAGAAATCAGTAAGTACTTTGAGATTTGTTGATAATAATAATATTAGCGGAAGTGATGGCGATAATGACGAAAATAATAAAATAATAAATAAGCAATCATCACCTACAGCATCTGGTAGAAAAAAATCTGTTGTACACTTTGCAAAAGATTATAGACCAATCAGTGTGTTGAGAGTGACTAGATCAATACCACCTAAAAAAGAGGAACCCCTTCCTCCTTCAACAAACCATATGAGTGGTAATAATAATAGCAATGGTAATGGCATTATTATCGGTAACAATAGTAGTAGTAGTAATAATAATAATAATAATAATAGAAAATCCAAAGTGGTGAGTATAATATTACCAGAAGTTATGGATAATCTAAAAAGACGTACGATAGTAAGGCCAAGTGAATTGATGTCTAAAGATGAACAACGTACGGCTGAACAAATGTGGGAAGAATTTCAAAGTCATGGAATAGCAGCTATCTCTGACGAGTTCTTGAAAATATTTGTTTCGTTAGACGAACGAGCAATTAATAATCTTCATAATTATAATCACAGCAATAATATAGACATATTCAAAACACCAATTGAAAAAAATTGGTGGGATTTTTCTAGGAAAGGGTTTAAAAGTTTTTATTTGGAACCTCCTGTACCCAAATCACCAACGTCACCGACACCATCAACTTCGTCATCTAATAATCAAAATGATGATAATGTTGATAAAAATATAAAAAAGAAAAAATCAAATAATTTATCACTTCCTAGACCAAAAACTGTTGCATGGGAAGATTTTAGCGAGAAAGGATTTGGTGATCCGTTGGATAATGTTCTGGAAGTGTTAACAATAAGCTCACCAACCTTAAAATCACCAACGATCATGACAAATTCAGATACATTAATTGCCGATGATGATAATGATATCCGCGGTATTGAAAAGTCATATAACGGTAAATTTAATAACAAGAAATCATTGCTGCCTAAATTTCGCGCGTTAAAGAAAAGATCATCATATAGCAAATCTATTTCAAAGATAGATGAACTTGAAAAGGTTGTAGAGGAGGAGGAGGATTGGGAGGATTGGTATATTATAGATGCTGAGGAAGACTTCCCGGTGACCACACATTTGGCCATTGAATCGATTGATGAAATATTTCCATATGTCTGGATTGAAGCGATTGACGATGAGGCGAAGGATGGGGAGGAGAATAGATGGGGAGAATGGATTTTTGTTGAGCCAAAGAAAGGTTTGGTGCAAGAGTGTGAGTGGATAATGATTGAAGAGAAGGAGCAGGATATCAAGGCGTGGAAACAATCACGTCGTAACTACAGGAATCGTAAAACTGGTACATTTAGTAGTTTTAGTATACCATGGGTTAATAAAAATAATAGATCAAGTAAATATGATGGTAGTAATAATGATAGTAATAGCAAAATAAAAAGGTCTTCAAGTGTTCCGCCGCCAAACACGACATCAGCATTATTAGGCGGTGCTAATAAAACTGGTGTTGGCATTGATGTCAGTAATGGTGGTGAAAATAGACGACTTACATATTATGAAGATGATAACGGTAAACGAAGAAAAAAACGACTTTCCAAAAAGATTATAAGTCCACCGATTCCATTAGATTATAACACTTCACGATGGTCAAGAAAAATTGAAAATGATGAAATTATTAATATGAATAATGATAACGACGAGACTTACAATAATGATGGTGATGGCAATTATAATCATGATGATAATATATTTCCTACTCGATATGAATCAACAGGAAAATATAGTAATGAGGAAGAAGAAATTGATTATAATAATAATCGAGGAAGTAGTTATCAAAGAACTTTAAGTGGTGGTGGCGAAGGGTTAGAAAATTTTGGAAGTGATTATTATCACAAAACAACAAATGATGATGGTGATGATTATAATCAAGAGACATCATATGGAAAAAGAGATTCTGATGATTTGGGTGATCATTATGGGGAAAATTTAGGAAATAATTATCAAGATAGTAATTATCAAGAAAATTATCAGGAAGGTTATCGACAAAGTGGATACCAAGAACTTTTTAATAATGATAATGATAATGATGATAATAGCAGCACTAGTAATTATGGTATTGAAGAAGATGATGTTGGTGAATATAGCGAAGATTTAAATAATAATAATGAAAATGTCGTTGAAGATGAAAATAACATTAACCGGCAAAATGAACATTTACAGCAGCGACAATTGGATGATGATAATGATGATAATGTAAATTCTGATGAAGTGATAAGATTTGATTATATATAATATAGATAGATATATAAATATTTATTTTTTTAGATCCGGTTCCATTCTTTTCGTTCCGGATTTGTAATTTTTGAAGATTTTCTAGATTTTCTTATTTTTCTTATTTATTTTATAATTAAAGATATATATATATATAATATATTAATATAAATTTTGTATATAAATTTAATTAATTAAATATTTATTTATTTATTATTCAGACTATATATAGTTATTAAAAATATTATATATAATTAAACGTGCAAAAAAAAAAAGAAAATAGCAAAATACCAAATATTAAATAATATGTAATTTAAAGCAAAATCGTCCCGTTTTTCCATCAATTCAATTAATAACCCACATTTCTCCAACCAAGAGCATAAGACAAGATGAAAATTGTTAAAAGTATAGCTAGTTGAACAGGACCAAAAATCACACGAAGAATCACATTATCAACGATCAACTCGATTCCAACCCAAATTATCGCGAAGCAAACGAAAATCCATGCTAATATTTCAACAGCAAGGCCTGAACCTCTACCCAAAGTATTCATCACTAATGCCGCAAGTAATCCTAATAATAAATCGCGGGCAATTCTTGATGCACGTCGTGGTCCTTTATTCTATTTATTTATAAAAAGAAAGGTCGAAATAAATATGTATTTTGTGTATTGTTTAGTAAAATAAACACTTTTCATTTATGATGATATTTACCAAACGACCTAAAAAGCCACCACGACCTTGGCGATTGTGATCACCTCTATTGATATTAGTAGTAGTATCTCCATCAGCAATGGTGGTAGTATCTTTATGAACATCTGTATGAGTCGGTCTTTTAGTCATCCAATCTACAAGTCTAAAAATAATAATTATAAAATGTTTGCATAGTAATAGGTGTATAAAAAATACAACCCGATTTTAAATTCTATAGAAGCTTACAATAACAAAGCCCAAACAATCCATAGAACCCAGAATGCTATCCAGGTAGAACGTACAGAATTAGCTGAAACGAAAGAATCTAACCCATTGCCCGTTCCATCATTTGGTTGAGATTGTCGTGGAAGAAGTACATCACTTATGGCAACCATATTTATAATTTTATTTTTTATTTTTTATTTTTTTGCTAAGAATTTATTTTGTATTTTCACAAAGAAATTAATTATCTTTTTTGTGAATAAAAATTATGTTTTGGAAAAAAAAAAGCGTCGAAGAGAAAAAAATATTTCTACGTGTGAGAACGTTTTATACTTATTTTGTTTTGTAATCATATTCACTAACTAACTGACTAACGCTAAACCCAACCCTTTCAATATGTCATAGTGACATTTACTAGAATAACAAAGCAAAGTAAAATAAAATGAGTTAAATAAATTAAAAATAATCGTAATCCTCTCTCTCTAGATAATTCCGTTAACTTTGCCCGTATACATATTCACGAGAAGATTTCCCTATTGTTCTATATGTTGTCCCATGGAATTAGTAGCTTTTGGTTAGTGATTCCCCGTTTATGACATCATATCTATTCAATCCCGTAAAAAAAATCTACCCAAATTCTTAATATTAATATTAATGCTTCGTCATTAACCGCTAATGTTTCTACTATGTGTAATAGTAAATCCTTTCCAATATTATTATATGGGGGCAAGAAAATTACGTATGTAGCATGTGTAACATAATTATTAATTTTATAAATTTTTTTTTAATCTAAAAAAATCTATTTATACAAATACAAAAAAGAAAAAAAATAATAATAATAATAAAAATGGTTAAAGTTGAAGAAGTAAGCTTTCTTGTAAAACAAATACTCGTTAAAATCAATATCAATAATTATTATTAAAAATTCATTTGTTATTATTACTTTACAAAAAAAAATATAGGTAGATGATGATCATGAAGATTTTTCAGATGAAGAGGAAATTGATGATTCAGATGAATCAGGGGATGACGATGATGATGAATCAGGGGATGACGATGATGAGTATGATGAATCGATATTTGAACGTATAATAGCATTACGAGATATAATACCTGCGGAGACGCGTGAATCTATCTCGAATAATATTTCAACGGTTTTGCGTTTTGGAGCCAGAAGTGCAAAATTTTTAGGAAATACATTTTGGGTGGTAACAACATCTGCATTGCTTTTAATCATGCCTTTAGCATTTGAGATCGAACGTGAAAATTTCCTTACTCAAATGGAAGCTGATCAGGTAATATAATGACTTTGGAGAATAAATAGTTGGATGATAATAATAGGATGTTAATTGAATGATGATGATGATAATAATATATTCACTAACGCATCAATATTATTAGATGAGCGGACAGCCAGGATTATCACCGTCACCATATGGACAGCCAGGATTACATCCACAACAACATGCATTAGGATCATTTCAATCATCATCGCCATCATCAGAACAATCTCAACAACAAAATTAATTAGTTTCTTTAACAATCGTTATAATTATAATATTATTAATATCATTAATATTATAGTTATCTAAAAAATGAAATTATTTGATCAATAACATTTTATTAATAATAATAACATTATTAATATCCGTAATAATGATTATTAATTTATTAACTATTAACATTAATACTTCAAAAATCAATAAAATTAACACGAATATATATACATAATATTATCACTGTTACTATATACTCTCGCCTCACTTCTCCTACTCTTCTTACTACCATTATTCTATTTTATCATCGTTTAATTTTTTGTTATTCAACCAACCAATTACAAGCTCATAAGCAAAGAAAGTGACAGCATTAACAGGCCAAGCTCTAACAAGTGTGGTGGACATTCCTTTGAAAAAAACTTTTGCACCTTCTTCACGGTATGATTTAATTGCACAATCGATAATACCTGAATAATAATTTTGCTGTTGTGTTTGTAGTCTGGTTTTTATCACGTCTGTGGAAAATAGATGGAAGAAAGGAATGCACAGTAAGAAAAATATCATATTATTTATCATCATTTATTTATTATTCGTCATTCTGATAATTTATTATTTGCTAACCCAAAGGATAGATACTAGCCCAAGAAAGAAGACCAGCGGTACCACCAGCAAATAAAAGTTTAAGAACATTATTTCTATCAGAATTGCTATCAGATGACGTCACTTCTAATACACGTTTTAATCCTTCATATGCCCTTAGAAATATGGTGAAATAAATTAAAATCTAAAAATATTATAATTATAACTGTAATATTGAAATTAATAGTATTTTACCAGAAATAAACACCGTATCCTGGAGCATCACGAATTATTGTAACCAATCCTCCTTTATAAAGTCCTATCATATACAATAACAATAACAACAACAATAATTCAATTATTAGTATAAATTATTACTGTTATGATTATTTACTATCATTTACCAACCACTAATTCCTTGAGTCAAGATTGTTTCTTTGAAAATTCTCCATGTGTTAGATTTTAATAAAAATGACGATAATCTCCTTTCCCCAACTCTTACAGCACCATATTGGAATGGCTGTCGTAAATAATTTGTAGTGACGGCAACTTGTGCTCTACATTTTACCAGTTCAGTTGGAGTGCTGACTAAAAAACATGCAATACCAGCACCAAATCCTGCGATATAAACTTGTGTTAATGTAGGAGGAGCAAAATTGGACGATGATGACGATGACGGCGACGACGACGATGATGAAAGAATTGTAGAGAATAATGATCTTGCATTATCATGGATAATATCATGGTTATAATCGTATCTTTGCAATAGACGTATTATCCCGCCATAAGAGGCAAATAGTATTGAATTTAAAAATGCCAGACCTACAATTGGAGAACCCAATCCTTTAAATAAAGAACTAATCTTATATGTACATTATATATGTATGCATGTGTTCAATAATGTATTATACGAGTATGTATATATATTTATATATTATCGTAAGATTTGTCATTTCGCTTTTGATTTGCAGTTAACTTACCCCTTCTAATTGTTTCATTCTCATCAAAGTTTCAATAATTGACGATGATGACGATCTTAGATTATTATTGTTGATATTATCATTGTTGTTATGGACTTGTAACCGAACCTATACAATATAACATTACAAATAATATTATAAATAATCTATCATGCTTGCAAACTAAAATACAAACACTGGCTGGACATTACCTTCAAGACATCAAAAGGACTACCAACAATTATTCCAGCAATTCCACCTATATATCCTAATATTTATCATATTACTACCAATACTATATATTATACAGTTTATGTATATAATATATAATTGTAAAAAATACCTGCTATAAAATCATTTAAACTTTCGGCTATGACATAATTAAATTATAATTGTTATACATCATTATTATGATGAATAAGTTTTTCACACACTGATAACATTAAAGTATAATTTTAAATAATTACCCATTTTGGTATTAAAACACGGATAATTTTTAAAAGAAATAAAACTTTATTTTCTGGAGGAAAAAACAGTTAGAACAATGCAAGTTATGGGGCAACAAAAACCACTAAATTTCAGGGGTAAGGGTCCTAAAAGCAGTCAGAGAATATACCAAATTTGGAATTTCTAAATACTGTAATGACCGATAATACAGATTCTGAGCTATTTTTATAAAGGTAAGAGGGTTTCTTGAAAAATTGCTTTGGGTACATCAGTTAGGGTTTGGCACGTAACACGAATGAATTAAATGATCGTACGACTTTTGCAAATAATATTAATAGTTTATTACTAATTTTCAGTTTTTCATTTAATCTCTAATAAATAAAATATCCTTTTGTCCACTTAAATATATATATATATATACACAACAACATAAGGACATGTAATAATCCAAATTTTATGCAGCAAAATGAATATCAGGTTCTGTCTGATATTATTGAAACTATGGTAGCGATAGAGCCAAATAAAAAAATGAATGAATATAAATGAATACAATGAATTACTATCCATTTTTTTTTAAGTAAAGCATACTTTATACAATTAAAGTTGTTTGTGATGATGTCTTATGATCATAAAGATTATGCTAATAAAGATGATTCTAGGAAATAATTAGCTCCTATTGCGCTTTCAATATATTTCTCCACGTGGTTTCAACTGATCCTTTGAATAAGTACTAGGAGATGATCTTGATGTTTTATCCACTATATTATACATAGGTCAAAAAAAGAGAAATGACCAACGAATTTGAACTCCTTGGTACATAATTTCCTTAAATTTAAGTAAAAGCATACTTTGAGGAAATTAACAGGTTTTCAACAGATTATGAGAGGGAAAGGTTCAATAGGCAGCAAGTATGAATTAATTGGCCAACAAGGAGTTTTTGTATTTCCTGACTGTGATTGTTCGATCATACCCGTAGACTTTTTTCTATGATGTGTGTTACAAACAAACACAAGGCACATGATTACCTATTAACTAAAGAGAAAGAAGCCCAAACTCAAAAGTTAAAGCACCAAATTCAACAAACCCAATTAAATCAAACAAATAAAACAGCCAGCATCTTTAGGATATGTGTAACAATATTGCAGAAAACAATCAATTATCTCTTGAATAGATTTTTTATTTTCTTTTAGTAATAAATCTATTTTTCCCCAGATAACAAATATAATTTCAAACACTTATTCGTCAGGACTGCGAAAACATTACATCTTTCTTAGTGGAAATCAAAATAAAAATGAAGTAGGTGGTGCTATTACTTGTCAATATTATAATTAAATGACGATGGCCTTACCTTTATGATAACACATTAAAATGGTTATTTTATTATACTTGTTGAATGACCCTTTACCCGTCCTCGTTAAGAGTCTTTACTATATTAGTTCTGGGTTTATTGAGAATATATATTAGACCCATTGGACAAAACCAGCTTGTGACATTATTATAAAAATATTTTTATAATTGTTCAATCATCATCTAAATAAAGTAATACCCCCTTTGATATTGAATAGGAAACCGTTTCAGAAGAACCATCGAAACAAAAACCTTATCAGCAAAGCAAAAACAAAAAAACTAAACTTTTATTGAATTTGCACTTTTTGAATTTGGATTAGATAAAGTTAAAAATTAATGACATTC